ATACCCAAACTACGTGCTCCATAAACTTATAAGAAGGTGAGAAATATAAAAATGAACAATTTAATTTATTTTGTCAAATAGTTCATTACAAATCATGAAAGACAAGGTGAATCAGAAGGATCACATACCCTTCACAAATAAAGATTAAATTTCTCTTTGAGATTCTTGTAGCAAAAAATTTTCAGAGTTGATGTATAGGATAAATTTTAGGACATATAACCCAAATCAATTCCTATAGTGATATACTACATCCTTTTGAAGATATCGACAAAATTGAGTCATTTTTAATTTGATTATGGGCTAGGGTTTGGGTCATGTTTGGGAACCAAAAGCGAAACCCACGAAAGCCACAAAAGTCATAATTCGTCTCTCAAATCTCTCCACTCTCAGCTCTCCCACATTTTAAGCATATATTTTCATGCAAATTCTTATATTTAAAATTCATTAATATGTTAGATTATAGCTTACAATGCTATCTTATGTATGAATATTATCTCATATGACACCCGATATTTTTTTACATATCCTTGATTTCTGTAATATGATATCCTAGATTTTAGGTATCCAATGTTTATTTGATGTCCAACACTTTGTAGTAGTTTTTCGAAAGCCTTTTCTAAAGTTTTCTAAGCAATGTATATAATTTATGGAAAAAATTCAAAATCTCAAGATTATTTAAAATATGATGCTTTACTTTTTTCACACCTCCTCTACTACATAAATATAAGCTAAGTGTGACGCCCCAGGGTTCACACAAGGCTGCATTCCCAGGTAAAACCCGGATTGTCAAACCTGCCAAGCACCAACCACCATGCTATGACAAGTTTCACCATCACAATCACTATCTCTCTAGTGGAAACAAAAAATAGGTGAAGGTACAGACAGGTAAAAATAGAAATAGGACAACACTGGATATACACAGAAGAAGCATAAGAAAAATCAATAATGAGCCAAACTGGAATAAAATAGACATATCTCTGAGTCTGAACTGAATCTCAAATACAATGAGTCACATAAACAAAGTCTCACAATAGCTCTCAACTCTATGAAACAAAATATTAATCTAGATTCTGAAATTTATCAACTACATGTGGAGTTCTGCAATAACTACAAAATATGATAAGTAACTAAATGAACAACTAAGAAGTCTCATCAACTTGCGACTCTCCGTACACCAGACTCGCTGCCTGAAAGGGGAGAAAACAACGAGCGTCAAAGCGCTAGCGAGGTCATCACTATCTCTCCCCAGGGGAAGGGGTAGGAGTATATAAGAAAATAGAGTCAGTACATACATATACCAAATCATTCATATAACTCTCTATGAATGAAAAAAAATAATCAATGATAAATACTCCAATCTCCAACATAAAGAATAATCATCTCATCTCGAATTACGTCCGAGTGACCTGCTCTAATATAAGAGGATACCAACTAAGCTAAAACAAATATATCTGCCGTTCATAACGGGTGTATCAAATTCTTAAAGAAAATACCCTACTCGCGGGCAGTCTATCTGGGAAGTTAAACTTACAACTGATCAATTATCTATGTGTGCATCATCTTGTACTATAGCGATACTTTTGTAATGCTCGGTACTCAATCGCTCTGCGGTAATAGGGTTTATTATTTTCCTATTCCGGATACATATAATAATGATACTGTTGTAATACTCTTACTCAATCGTTCTGCGGTAATAGGGTTTATTATTTTCCTATTCCGGATACATGTAATAACGATACTATTGTAATACTTTACTCAATCGTTCTGCGGCAAATATGTTTTATCTTCCTATTTCCGGATACGTGTAATAACGATACTATTGTAATACTCTTACTCAATCGTTCTGCGGCAAATAGGTTTCATCTTCCTATTTTCGGATACGTATAGAACATTATTATTCATATGTGTTTATTAATTTAACTCGTGTCAAAAGTGTGTCAATTCTAACATAATATAGCATACATGCACAAATCTTGGTGTGCGTGTCCACATCTGAAGTTCACCATCATCCCAGGTATTAAACAACTCTTAATCATTATAATATAACAGTACAAGATTGAGAAACTCTCTCAAAAATAACAAACAATAGCAAAACTCAAGAAAACATTTACGTAATATATCAATTTATTTCAAATCAGCACATCTGCAGTTTTCTGCAGAACATATTATTAGTAAATTGAGAATATCTTTCTCTGTACAAACTCTTTTTAAGAATAGTTTTTCGTTTTGGAAATTAGACTCACATAGCTATCATTTGCCACTGATTTGGTTCAGTTTGGAGTTCATATGATATTTCAAATTTCCTGTTAAACATTTTATATGTGCAGCAGATTTTCTGCAGCATATATCATCAGTAAATTGAGCATATCTTTCTCTAGAAAAACTATCTTTAGGTATGGTTTTCTGTTTTGAAAACTAGATTCACATATCTTTCAATTGGCATTAGTTTGGTTCAAATTTGATTTCATTAATTATTTCAAATCTCTAGTTCAATAGTATATATGTGCAGCAGATTTTTAGCAGAACATAACAAGCATGATTATTTGCACAAGAAATCATACGTAAACCTTCAATCATGCACGAAACTTTAAAACGAAGAATAAGACATATAAATTCAGATAAACAATATTTTAAATTATTTTTAGATCTTAAATTACTTCTGTAAATTCGTGCTTAATCTCTTTAACATGAAAAGACCTAGTCTTTATACATATATACAAAAGATCCAATTTTTATACACAAATTAATTGTTTAGGCTCTATAAAACTCCTTAAAAACTCTTCAAAAATATTTTAAAAACTGGGAGAGGGATTAGTAGAGATGATACTCACCTGGGGTTGTAGGAAAACATGTTAGAAGCAACGTCGAAGGAGATCTCCACTCCAAAAGCCAAAAATCAACAAAAACCCAACTTGAAAGCCTCCAATCTTCTCTAAGAATTCAAAATAGGTTTTATGGGGGTTTGGTGGCTGTTAGAGTTCTTAGATATGATAAAAGAAAGGAATTTTCATGAAAAATACAGGTATTTATAGAGGCAAACCCGAAACAAACCTGTTAGACTCGAACCAGTAAACCTAGTCTGACTAGGAAAATACCCCTTCGGTATTTTGGTTATAACTTTCTCATACGACCTCAGAATGAGGTGATCTAAGACTTGTTGGAAATATGTTAAAGAGACCTACAACTTTGGTCTTTTACACTTTTCCAAATTCTAACTGCATCGGTGTGCAAAACATAAAAACTCATAACTGGTCATTATTCCTAGATTTTCACTCTTTTGGCCTTTGTGCATATTTTGTGCATTTGTACTCATATTTTCACAAATATACATTGAATTAATCTCATATAAATTCTTATCATATTCAAACATCAAATATATTATTTTTCACTATATAACATATTTATTATTATTTATCATAAAATATTCAAATTTACGGGGTTTTACACTAAGCCTCTGGCCTCATATTATATGATGAATATTATTTATCAATAGGATCACATACAATTATTTGTGGTTAACAAATATTTTAAATCTTTATAGACTTAATTGAACTTAAATACCTTATAGTTTATGAAAGTTATATACCTCCACTTGTATCTTGTTGCACTTAAATATCCTAATATTTTCTAAAATTGCATGTTTGTACCTTCTATCATGTTGCCTAGACGCAAGAATACTCTGTATTTTTCCTATATTAGTGTCATGATATAATTGTAGGATAATTCTATGTTTTCTTTTCTTTCCATAAATAATTTATTAACATGCAAATGTCTATTAATATATTATTATATATTAGTGATAATTAATATGATGTATAGATTTACAGTAGTATTGAAAGGTTTAGGGACCAAGTTAGACAAAATTATAATTAATTTATAGTACGAAAGTTATACACCTCCACTTGTATATTGTTGCAGTTAAATATCCTAATATTTTCTAAAATTACATGTTTGTACCTTCTGTCCTGTTACCTAAACACAAGAATACTCTTTGTAATTTTCCTATATGAGTGTCATGTTATAATTGTAGAACAATTCTATATTTTCTACTCTTTTCATAAATAATTTATTAAGATGCAATTTATCTATTAATATATTATTATATATTAGTAATAGTTAATATAATGTAGAATTTTACAATAACATTGGAAGTTTTAGGAACCAAGTTAGACAAACTCGAAGTGGCCGGCATATAATATAATTAATTAACAATAATAATTAATTTAGTTTAGTTAGGATTAGAATGTAATATCAAAAAAGAATAGAGGTAATATAGTCCATAGAAAGCTTTTATAATTTTCCTATATGAGTGTCAGGGTATAATTTTAGAACAATTCTATGTTTTCTATTCTTTCCATAAATAATTTATTAACATGCAATTTTCATATTAATATATTATTGTACATTAGTAATAATTAATATGATGTAGAGTTTTACAATAACATTGAAAATTTTAGGGACTAAGTTGGACAAACTTGAAGTGACATATAATATAATTAACTAACAATAATAATTAATTTAGTTTAGTTGGGATTAGAATGCAATATCAAAAAAGAATAGGGGTAATATAGCTTATAGAAAGTTTTTCCACAATATTTTCTAAAATTACATGTTTGTACATTTTGTCCTGTTACCTAATGCAAAAATACTCTTTGTAATTTTCCTAAATGAGTGTCATGTTACAATTTTAGAACAATTCTATGTTTTCTACTCTTTCCATAAATAATTTATTAACATGCAATTTGCCTATTAATATATTATTATACATTAGTAATTAGTAATAATTAATATGATGGATAATTTTACAATAACATTGGAAGTTTTAGGGACCAAGTTAGACAAACTCGAAGTGACGATATATAATATAATTAATTAACAATAATAATTAATTTAGTTTAGTTAGGATTAGAATGTAATATAAAAAAGGAATAGGGATAATATAGTCCATAGAAAGTTTTTTCACAACTCCCTCTTTTAAAGGGAGTATAAGTGAAATATACCTCTAACTTGTAAATTTCAAGCAGAGGATGCAATGCAGGATCTGGTATCGAATCCAAAGGAGATGCTAGGACTGGCTTCTGTGGAATTGACAATTCATCCGTGTCTCCTTCCAGCATATCAACCACCCTAGTCATTGAGGGTCGGTCGCCTGGCATAGTTTGTATGCACCAAAATCCAACGATCAACATCTTCCTTGCAATTTCTTCAGTCTCATTCGTTACTCCGATTTCTTTAAGATAATCCGCATTGTCGATGTGCTGATAAATCGATTGAGGAAAGTAAGCTTCACTATTGCTCTCGAATCTTGTATTTGTGCTATTTTTGCCTTCAAATATATGAAGAATCATCATGCCGTAGCTATAAACATCAGACTTACTAGAGACAACACCAAAACTTCTCGAAAATACTTCGGGAGCAATGTAACCTATGGTTCCTCTAGCTCCATACATCGATACTATACTTTGTTGTGGAGGGCACAGTTTGGACATTCCAAAGTCTGCAATCTTTGGGCAGAAATCTTTGTCTAGTAGGATATTGTGAGGCTTGATGTCAAAATGAACAATTCGATTGTTACATCCTCGATGCAAGTATTCTAGCCCTCGAGCTATACCAACTACTATCTCGTACAACTTTTCCCATCCTATTGAAGCTTCTCCCATAGGTTTCTTCATTGAGCATATATACTTCTCTAAAGAACCATTGGGCATGAAATCATAGATCAGTGCTCGTTTTGACCCGTCAACACAAAATCCTCTTAGAGTGACGATATTTATATGAGAAGTATTTCCAATGGCAGCTACCTCATTGATGAAGTCCTCGCCGTTACTTTTAGTTTCATCCAAGACCTTCACGGCCACTAGATTGCCATCAAACAATTTACCCTTGTAAACACTGCCATAACCACCTTGACCTAGTTTTTCACGCCACTAGATTGCCATCAAACAATTTACCCTTGTAAACACTGCCATAACCACCTTGACCTAGTTTTTCACTAAATGACTTGGTTATTTTCTTTATATCAGAGTATGCATAACGTTTTGTAGCTAGAGAATGGTATTTTTTCAGAAAGGCTTCAATTGTTTGGGCATGCTTTGCTTTCTTCTTCCAAGAAAGTAGTCCATAAGATATTTTCTGCCGGCGAAACAAAAGAATAAAAAGCAAGCTTCCTATGAGAAAGCTTGCTGTTCCAATGGATATACCTGAGAAAAGAGAGGAGAAATAAACAGTCAAAAGTTTAGTACCCGATACTGTTTTATGTCTAAAGGTTTCCCCTCAGTTGTTAACGAAAAGGAAAAAAAAAAAAAAAACTTTCGAAAGTTCTGCTTAATTACAACTATATTATGACTATAATTATTGTTTATGAAAAAAACAAGTTAGACATGCCACCAAGCAAATAATGATAGTTTGTCAAAGCAGACCAATAAGTTTAATTTCGCTCTGGATCAAGTTATACTCAACAGATATTAAAAATATTTGTATTAGTCTAATTTAGGCTTCTTAAAGCATAGCTTAATGACTCACCCAAAAAAAAAGTATAGCTTAATGACATAAGGGACATGCTGACAAACATCGAATATAAATTATTCTTCATTCTGCTTCAATTTATATACCACTATGCTGAGCTATCATTGTGTCAGGCAAGGAATCAAAATGAGTTATTCAATACGAAAAGCTTTTTAAATCAAGCCTTGGCTGCAAATATCGACATGTCGCAAGTTGTGATTATATATGTTAGGATGAGGGTGTAGATCAAACCTCATTTCCGATGAGGAGCGCCGGCGAGGAGCTCCGACGAGCGTGGATGTCGACTCAGGCGAAGTCGACGGCGATCCCCAGGCGTGGCCTCAGGTGGAGCTCGAGCAGGAAAGCTCGCGTTTAGGGGGGTTCCGACCTTGGCGTTTTGGCGGTTCCAACTCTGCGTCACAGGGTTCCGACCTCTGCGTTTGGCGATGGCGACCTTTGCGTTCGTGCCTCCCCCTTTCAACTCTGCGTTCGGCTCGAATTTGGCGTCGAAGCGGACGCTGGCGACAGGCTGTCGCCAGCCCTCCACATCCGCCTATAAACCCCCCCCATTTGCCTAGGGTTTTGCTGTAGCAGAGCTTCCCCCTTCTCCGATTTCTTCTCTCTGGCGGCGGCGGCGAACTCGCAGCAGCGATTTAATCTCCAGCTTTCATTGTGTTTGAAGGGGGATTATAGTAGAGAGAGAGAGAGAAAATTAAAAAGGGGTTTTATATTGTGGGGTATTTATTCTCAAGTGGGAATTGAAAGGGTTCATACCCTTTAATTATTAACACTGTAGCTACAGTGTTTATTTGAGAAATCTCAGTTTTGAGATCTGCTCCTAAATTGTAATTTCTTGTTTGATTAATAAGAAATTATCTGTGTGGCTCCCGAGAACGTAGGCAGTTGCCGAACCTCGTTAAAACTTGGTGTACTTTTTCTATTCTGCGTTTCTGTTGCATTAGGGGTTTCAGCGTTAAATTCCCAACAATATACGACTATACTGAGCTTTTTGACATCTTAAACTCAAAGAAATTCACCAACAAAATCTTGAAGATTTAATGTTGCTAGTTAAAGCAGTGGTGAGCTACTTTATATACGTATTAGCATTATCCTACTTCGTGTCGATACTTACTATGGAAAATTAATGGAAAGTAACTGATACTTCAAATTTCTTTGTGGATTTGAAGTACTTTGTGGATTTGAAAATCGTTCTTCAAGGATTCTAAGAGCACCCTGTGAACGTGTGCGGCAAGTGTGAACGCATGTGGGGGCCACACCCACATTCAGCAGCAAGCGTGTGAGGAGATATTAGGGACGTGGGGCCCACCCCATGTGAGACTCCCTCCAGCCCAGCGGGTTTCGAGTTTGGTTTTTGGCCTGGATTCTCTGCTATAAATAGCGTTCTCTTCTAGGGTTTCGAGAAGAGGAGGAAAAAAACTGCAGAGGGCTTAGTCGGCTAGGTTACTGCAAGGGGAGAAAAAGGACGCGTGTGGAAAAAATCAGAGGTGTTTTTCAAGTGGCTTTTGAGAGAGAAATTGAAAGCTTGTTTGAGGGTTTTATTTGTGAGACTTTGTGTGTTTGTAAACCCTATTTGTATTCTCTTTCTCTCTAATAGTATATCTTCCCCCTCATTGCTCCGTGGACGTAGGCAACTTGCCGAACCACCTAAAAATAATTTGTCTTGCTGTGATTTGTAATAGCTTGTAAGGTTCCCTCTACAAGTCAGTCCTAAAACTGATGAGAAGAAGATTGTATATCCCACTTTGTTGAGATATATCACTTTCGATTCTTATTTCCTTGGTGAAACGGGAATTTAGTTGTGATCTTACTCTCTTATTGTGCATCAGAAGTGCTGCCAAAATTCCCGCTACGCACAACAAGTAGTATCAGAGCCCAAGTTTTGGCTTGGGGCTTGTTCGAAGGATTCACTGAAGGATTCTTATTTGAAGAGTTAGATCTACAACATGGGTGAAATAAGCACAACGGGATCGTCTCTTTCGAAGGTGATACAGAGTCTGAGCATTAATAATACAAAGATTGATATTCCGAAGTTCGACGGCAAGATCAATTTTGGTTTGTGGAGGTGCCAGGTGATGGATGCGTTGGATGCACAAAATTTAGAGGATTCTCTTGAGTTGAAAGAGAAACCAGATGATATGGAGGACAATGTTTGGAAGAAGATGAACAGTAAGACGTGTGGAGTTATTAGGTCATGCTTGACGCCAGATCTAATTTATAATGTGATGAACGAGACGTCAGCCAAAAAATTGTGGGAAACGCTCAATAAAAAGTATCTTACTAAAAGCATTGAGAATCGGCTTTACTTGAAGAAGAGGTTTTATCAGTTCAAGATGAAGAGGAGAGTTTCCATTAGGGAGCATGTAAATAACTTTACGAAGTTGCTTTCAGATATGGCCAATGTGGATATCATAGTTGAGGATGAAGATAACGCGATGCTACTTTTGTGTTCGTTGCTGGAGGATGATTATGATACTTTTGTCCTAACTATGATCAATGGTAGAACTACTATTAGTTATAAGGAGGTGACTTCAGCTTTGGTAAAATATGAATTGAGGAAAAGTGATAACGAACCCTCCGAGAAGGCATCAGGAGATGCATTAGCAGTTCGAGCCCGTATTCCAAACTGTTGGCAGTCCAACCGCTCAAAATCGAGGAATAGAGGTAGCCATAAGAGTGTTGGTAGGAACCAGTATCGTTTTTGTAAAGAAGAATGACATTGGAAGAACGAGTGCCAAAAGTTAAAAGTTAAAGCCGAGAAGAATAAATGGAAAGTTGTACAAGCTTCGGAAGTGAATGTTATCAAGGCTAGTGACGACAATTCAGATACGGATTCTTCGGGCTTTTCATGCTCAGCATTATCGTCAGTTTGTTACGCTGACTCTACGGAGTGGATGATGGATTCTGGTGCTACATACCATATTTTCCTTAGGAGGGATTGGTTCTCCAGCTTTGAGGAGTTGAAAAGAGGGAATGTCGTGCTTATGTGTAATGATCACATATGCACTATTGATGGTATTGGTACAGTTCGGATCCGCATGTATGACGGGGTGACTCGGGAGCTGAAGGAAGTAAGGTTCGTGTCGCAGTTGACGAAGAACATTATTTCACTTGGAACTTTGGAGGCAGCTGGCTATCGGGTGATTTTGGAGAATGCAACTCTGAAGGTCACGAAGGGGTCCGTGGTGGTGATGCAAGGTATCAGGGAAAACAACCTATACTACTTGAAGGGCAAGACAGTTATAGGAGGTCTGGCAGTTTCTATCACTATAGAGGAGGACACTACCAGTTTATGGCACATGCGTTTAGGACACACTGGTGATAAGTCCCTGCAGGCATTGGCGAAACAAGGGCTATTGAAAGGTGCGAAGACCTGCAAGATGGAGCTGTGTGAGCATTGTGTACTTAGGAAGAAGACGAGAGTGAAGTTTGGCACCGCTATTCACAACACCCAAGGTATATTGGACTACATTCACATAGATATTTAGGGCCCTTCCAAGCACACATCACTTGGTGGGGCCAACTATTTTGTTACTTTTATTGACGATTATTCCAGGAGAAATTGGGTATACCCTATGAAGCATAAACATAAAGTCCTAGATATTTTTGTAGAGTGGAAGAAGAAAGTGGAGCTGCAGACAGGTAGAAATATGAAGACTCTTCGTTCGGACAATGGATGAGAGATAAGAGTGATCCGTTTCTGTAGTTTTACCGGGATCACGGTATTAGGCGACACTTCAAGTTCGTGAGACACCACAACAGAACGGGGTGGTTAAGAAGTTGAACCATACCTTGCTGGAGAAGCTGCAATGTATGATGACACAGAGCGGATTGTCAAGATCCTTTTGGGCCGAGGCGTTGGTTTATGCGAGCCATCTTGTGAATAGGTTGTCGTGCACTGCGATACAAGGGAAGACTCTTATGGAACGTTGGTCTGGTTCGGTGGCTAGTGACTATGAGTAGCTTCGGATATTTAAGTGTCCAGCTTATTACCATATTAGTGATGATAAATTGAATCCGAGGGTAAAGAAAGCAGTCTTTGTGGGCTTTAGAGAAGGAGTAAAAGGCTTCACATTGTGGGATCCACAGGACAAGAAGATAGTTATTAGCAGAGATGTTACATTCGACGAGGCGTACATGATGAGGCCTCAAGTCCCTCAGCAGATGGAGGAAGACCAGACAAGAGGGATATCGCAGCAGGTGGATGATGATGTGACTCCACCCACTCCAGATAGCATTGTATCCATTGAGGCTCCTACAGAGGTGACACTGGAAGGAGATGGGATGAAAACCGGACAGTTAGAGGATACAGTGGATGGTGAGACTCAGGAGCTGGGTCATGTTCAGAAGTCTATTGCAGCAAACAGACCCAGAAGAGTGATTCGTCGGCCAGCTAGATATAATGATGTCATGGTTGCATATGCCTTATCAGCAGAGGTCATTGATGATTTGGTTCCTTCTACATTCAAGGAGGCAGAGTCTAGCTCTGATTCAATTAGGTGGAGGGAAGCTATGAAGGAGGAGATGCGGTCTCTTTAGAAGAGCGACACTTGAGAACTTACAAAGCTACCGAAGGGTAAGAAGGCTATTGGATGCAAGTGGGTGTATGCAAAGAAAGAGGGATCTTCTATTGGGGACATTCGGTACAAAGCCAGATTGGTTGCCAAGGGTTATGCACAGCTTGAGGGCGTTGATTACAACAATGTATTCTCACCTGTTGTAAAGCATTCGTCGATTAGGATTCTATTGGCATTGGTGGCACAGCTGGATTTGGATTTGGTTAAGATGGATGTTAAGACAGCCTTTCTACATAGAGATTTAGAAGAGGAGATCTATATGACACAACCTATGGGGTTTAAAGCTGCAGGAAAGGAAGAATTAGTGTGCAAGCTGAAGAAATCTCTTTGCGGATTGAAGCAATCACCGCGATAATGGTACAAAAGATTCAACGGCTTTATGATTGGCCGAGGGTACACGAGAAGCCCATATGACCCATGTGTTTACATGCACAAGCTACATGATGGTGAGTACATCTATTTGTTACTATATGTTGATGATATGCTTATTGCCTTCAGGAATTCTTTGGCTATTCGAAAGTTAAAAAAGGA